GCCTCCAGCAGGCCCCCGAGAGGCTTCTCACGAGATCCCAACGAATATCTGAGAGGCCTCTGAACCACAACTCAGGCACGGTGGCGGGATGGGCCGACTACTGGGAGGAGGAGCAAAGACGACGACGATAGGAATGCGGGGGATAAAGTCGGGCCATGACGCCCCCAAGACGTCCAAAATTGCCTCAAAAAAAATTATCCCGGCAAAGCAACCTAACAGCGATGTGTAGGAGCATATCTGGAAGCATTCCCCTTAAGATTCAGATGAGAATCCAGTTGTAGAATTCTGCTGTTCTCGCAGTCGTAGTCGCATTCGCGATGACAGTCGCAGCGGCAACGGCAGTCGCAGTCACAGCCTCAGCCTCAGCCTGCCTCAGCCTCAGCCTCAGCCTGCCTCAGCCTCAGCCTGCCTCAGCCTCAGCCTCAGACTGCTTCAGCCTCAGCCTCAGTCTGCCTTCAGCCTCGGCCTCAGCCTTCAGTCTGCCTCAGCCTCAGCCTGCTTCAGCCTCAGCCTCAGCCTCAGCCTGCCTCAGCATCAGCCTGCCTCAGCCTCAGCCTCAGCCTGCCTCTGCCTGAGCCTCAGCCTGCTTCAGCCTCAGCCTCAGGCCGTCGCCTCGGCCTCAGCCTCAGCCTGCCTCATCAGCCTCAGCCTCAGCCTCAGCCTCAGCCTCAGCCTGCCTCAGCCTCAGCCTCAGCCTGCTCCGGGCATTCAAAATGTGGCCCGGGAATGGAGTTCTGGGAACTTCAAGACCACGAAGTGGCCTACAGTTGGCTCCGGGCATTCAGAATGTGGCCCGGGAATGGAGTTCTGGGAAGTCGAAGACCACGAAGTGGCCTACAGTTGGCTCCGGGCATTCAAAATGTGGCCCGGGAATGGAGTTCTGGGAAGTCGAAGAGCACGAAGTGGCCTACAGTTGGCTCCGGGCATTCAGAATGTGGCCCGGGAATGGAGTTCTGGGAGGTCGAAGAGCACGAAGTGTGTGACTGTATGCGAAAAACGATTCGATCCCCCCCGGCCCCCCAACGGCTCCCCAACGGCTGCCCAGACCCCCCTGTGGAGTAATGTGCTGCTCTTTTTTAGCCCATTAGAAACCTATCAGTCTACGCTGTTAGGTAAAAACAAGGGGTCGGCGGTGTGGCGTAGCCTAAAGAATCAATTATCCCGGCAAAGCAACCGAACAGCGATGTGTAGGAGCATATCTGGAAGCATTCCCCTTAATATTCAGATGAGAATCCAGTTGTAGAATTGTGCTGTTCTCGCAGTCGTAGTCGCATTCGCGATGACAGTCGCAGTGGCAACGGCAGTCACAGACACAGCCTCAGCCTCAGCCTGCCTCAGCCTCAGCCTCAGCCTGCCTCAGCCTCAGCCTGCCTCAGCCTCAGCCTCAGCCTGCTTCAGCCTCAGCCTCAGTCTGCCTTCAGCCTCGGCCTCAGCCTCAGCCTGCCTCAGCCTCAGCCTGCATCAGCCTCAGCCTCAGCCTCAGCCTGCCTCAGCCTCAGCCTCAGCCTCAGCCTCAGCCTCAGCCTCAGCCTGCCTCAGCCTCAGCCTCAGCCTGCTCCGGGCATTCAAAATGTGGCCCGGGAATGGAGTTCTGGGAACTTCAAGACCACGAAGTGGCCTACAGTTGGCTCCGGGCATTCAGAATGTGGCCCGGGAATGGAGTTCTGGGAAGTCGAAGAGCACGAAGTGGCCTACAGTTGGCTCCGGGCATTCAAAATGTGGCCCGGGAATGGAGTTCTGGGAAGTCGAAGAGCACGAAGTGGCCTACAGTTGGCTCCGGGCATTCAGAATGTGGCCCGGGAATGGAGTTCTGGGAGGTCGAAGAGCACGAAGTGTGTGACTGTATGCGAAAAACGATTCCCCCTGGCAAACCCCAACGGCCCCCCAACGCTCCCCAACGGCTGCCCAGACCCCCCTGTGGAGTAATGTGCTGCTCTTTTTTTAGCCCATTAGAAACCTATCAGTCTACGCTGTTAGGTAAAAACAAGGGGTCGGCGGTGTGGCGTAGCCTAAAGAATCAATTATCCCGGCAAAGCAACCGAACAGCGATGTGTAGGAGCATATCTGGAAGCATTCCCCTTAAGATTCAGATGAGAATCCAGTTGTAGAATTGTGCTGTTCTCGCAGTCGTAGTCGCATTCGCGATGACAGTCGCAGTGGCAACGGCAGTCACAGACACAGCCTCAGCCTCAGCCTGCCTCAGCCTCAGCCTCAGCCTGCCTCAGCCTCAGCCTGCCTCAGCCTCAGCCTCAGCCTGCTTCAGCCTCAGCCTCAGTCTGCCTTCAGCCTCGGCGTCAGCCTCAGGCTGCCTCAGCCTCAGCCTGCATCAGCCTCAGCCTCAGCCTCAGCCTGCCTCAGCATCAGCCTGCCTCAGCCTCAGCCTCAGCCTGCCTCAGCATTCAAAATGTGGCCCCGGAATGTAGTTCTGGGAACTCGAAGAACACGAAGTGGCCTACAGTTGGCTCCGGGCATTCAAATTCATGCCCAGGAATGGAGTTCTGGGAACTCGAAGACCACGAAGTGGCCTACAGATGGCTCCGGACATCCAAAATCTGGCCCGGGAATGGCCTACAGTTGGCTCCGGGCATTCAAATTCATGCCCAGGAATGGAGTTCTGGGAACTCGAAGACCACGAAGTGGCCTACAGTTGGCTCCGGGCATCCAAAATCTGGCCCGGGAGCGGAGTTCTGGGAACCGAAAACCACAAGTGGCCTACAGTTGGCTCCGGGCATCCAAAATCTGGCCCGGGAATGGAGTTCTGGGAACTCGAAGAGCACGAAGTGGCCTACAGTTGGCTCCGGGCATTCAGAATGTGGCCCGGGAATGGAGTTCTGGGGACTCGAAGACCACGAAGTGGCCTACAGTTGGCTCCGGGCATTCAAAATGTGGCCCGGGAATGAATTCTGGGAAGTCGAAGAGCACGAAGTGGCCTACAGTTGGCTCCTGTTATTCCGAATGTGGCCTGGGAATGGGGTTCTGGGATGCCAAAGAGCTCGAAATGTGTGACTGTTGCATCCCGTTAATCAGAATGTGGCCCGGGAATGGAGTTCTGGGGTGTCAAGTACGAGGAATTGTATAACTGTTGCGTCCGGCTATTCCGAATGTGGCCCGGGAATGGCGCTCTGGGAGGTCAAGGAGCACCAAGTGTGTGACTGTTGCATCCGGTTATTCAGAATGTGGCCTGGGAATGGGGTTCTGAGAGGTCGACGAGCACGAAGTGTGTGACTGTTGGTGAAAACCGAGCCCGGCACAGGCCCGGCCGGCAACTCCCAACGCCTGCCCGGACCCCCCTGTGGAGTGATCTGTGAGCTCTTTTGAGTCAACTAGAAACCTATCAGTCTACGCTGTTAGGTAAAAATCAAAATCGACGATTTGGGCCTCTTCGGGTTTTCTTGGGACGCCTCTCTGACCTCTCTTGGGGTTTTTCGGAGGCCTCCTGGAAGCGTGGAGTGCCGTCCACAAGGTGTTTTGGAATGCTTGGAAGCGTCTTGGGCCTATCTTTACGTTCTGAAAGCTTCTTGAGGTCGTCATGGGCTGTCCTTCGGCGTCTTGGGGTTTCCCCAAGAAGCCGAAAGGCGCGGTGCCGGCCAAACGTCAGGGGATGTGTAGGACCCCGAGTAGGAGTACCACTTTGTAAAACAAAAAAAAAAAAATCCGGGAATTCCCTTTTCCCCAAATCCTCGATCTTCGAGGGTTGGAAGCGGCGAAGGACATTAGAAAAACCACGGGAGGGCGGTATTTATACATATTATATGTCATCCACGAAAGGCAAAGGAAAAACAACAACCAAAAACAACACACACAAAAAAAAAACAAAAAAATCCGCGCGAATTGGGCGCGACGAAGCACCGAACCCGAAAAAAACACGCAGGCGCTGCCCTAACCCGTGAAGGTAGCGGGGCAGGGCGGCACACCGCGCGGGAAGCGCATCGACGAGGCCAGAGACGGCAGCCACACGCACCGCAGGTTGTACATCGACAGCGCCCGCGTTGGAGCGCCATGCACTGAGAGGGAAGGCCGCACACGTACACAGACAGGCACTGCACGCACAACCAATACTGCAGGCGAGCCTAGCGTCGACGACGTCTAGCCTTGCCCCTGCTACAGCGGCTGAACTGGGGCCGCGTGCCAAAGCCCGCCGCGCGCGCTGCACTCTTGACGGACCCGCTGGGAGATCGAATCGGGTCGAAACCACGGACTGCCCTGGTAACAAGGCCAGCGGCCGAGACGGGGCAAGCACTCTGCATGCCCATCAATGCCCCGACGGCGACGCAATCAATAATCTCGGGCGCAAGAATGCCATGGTTGAGGAAATCTGCAATGTTCTCCACGACGTCAGGCTCGTCGCGCAACCCCTGGAGGGTGCTGCCCACGTCCTCGGCCAGGTAACCATTGGGGGGACTTGCCAGACGCGTCAGTCAACAGCACGTCCTTCGCCTCATCCGCGGACTTCAGGAGGGCCTCGCCCACGTCCTCGCCCATCTCGGTCCGTTTGCAGATGGCGTCGGCGGTCTTCTGCGGCACGGCGGGGGGGGGCTTCGGAGGCGACACGAGCCCACAGTGTTATCGGCGCCGCCAAGTCGGCCAACCCGAACAGCAGGAATTCGGCAGGAGGACTGGGAGCACGCGTGGAAGCCCAGGCCGCAGCCTCAGCTTCTGGGAACGCACTGGCAGCGCCACCGGCAAGCTCCCGAGCCCCGCTTCCCTCGGCCCCCAGAACCTGGGACGTCATGGCGAAGCGCGTCTCCACCTCAGCCCCGGCCATCTGCTCGGACCCCCACGCCTCCGAGCTCGCGGCCGTCGGATCCGAAATTAAAGGCCGCGCCGCCTCGAGCGCGTCCAAGGTTTCCTTCAGCCTGCTCTCGGTCGCCTTCTCCTGCTCGAGCCTCTGCGCGAGCGCCCCCCGGGCCTCCATGGCCGTGGCCTCTGACTCCCAGGCCTGCAGTTGCAGCGCGCGCCGCGCCAAATCCGCGACCACAAGCAGCTGCCGGCAGCGCTGGTCAGCCCCCTGGAGCGCCAGGCACTTTTCGGCGGGGAGCGCCGACACGCCGGCCTTTTTCGTCGAGCTTCTCCTGGCCCGCCTCGGTCTCGACCGCCGTCTGCGCCAGCCGCGCCCGCGGCGAGATCGGCGCGCCGTCGCTGGATTCGCCGCAGCCGCCGGCGCCGACGGACTCGGGGCCGGCAACGACCTCCAACGCTTCAGAGATCTCGAACGCCAACTGCGGGCCGGGATGGGCTTGCGCCCGCCGGCCTCCGCGCGCTGCGGCCCATCTCTTGGCCAGCTCGCGCCCGCTGTCCAAGCCGCTACCGAGGAGCGCCTTCCGCGCCACTTCGGACTCAGCCTCGCGGCCAGCCGCCATGGCACGGCCAGCATTATGCAAGACGCCCTCGAATGTCGCGACCAGGCAATGGCTCTGGCGGGGCCCAGCAGGGCCCGACGCGGCCGTCCGAACAGCCTCCGCGACCGCAACTGCCCGCGGGCTCTCGCGTGCCAGACGAGCAAGCCCATCGAAACATGAGCTCGCGCGCGTCCGTTGGTCGCGATGCGCCCCGATGAGATCGCTCGACTTCCACGCGTTCGCTCGCGAGTCCACGAGCGACGACGACGACGACGACGACGACGACGACGACGACGACGACGACGTCAACGACGTCAACGACGGCCGCGACGTCGCATATTTACACTGTCGCTTCCATGCATCCATACGCATTCCAGCCAGCGCGAACCCCCACCGCCCAGGGCGGCGGCGGTTGCCGCCGAGGTTCGAAGCTCGAGCCCCGAAGATCGAGGCGCGAAGCTTCCTGGCCCTCGGGGGTCCTCCGTCGCCGCGGCTGGACGCGGCTCGGAGGACTGGCGCGTCTGGACCCGGGGGGGTGGGGGGGGGAAGAAGGGGGGGCGGGCTCATGGATCCATTTTGAGCCAGTTTCCATCGCTGTCGCCGTCGCCGTCATCGCCGTCGTCGTCGAAGGCAGAGGCCAGAGCGCACGGCCAAGGGGGGGACTCTTGGGGCGACGCGGGCCCCAACCCCCGAAGCCAGCGCGCCTCCCCCGCCCATCCTCCTGCGTCCTCCTTCGCCCTCACCAACGTGCGCGTTCGCATTGCCCGACTCTGTCATCCTCTCCTTTTCCCCTGCCACCTCCTCCTCTCCCTCCCAAATCATCGCACCAGGCGCCAGACAGGCGCGGCAGACACAAGAGGAAAGGAGTTTACAGGAGCTGGGGTTGGAGGCGGACTCAAACCAACAAGGGCCATTCTCGTAGGCCACCCCTGCATAGGCAGGGCACAGCAAGCCAGTCAAGCACTCGCTCCTATGCAAAAGTTTTGGAATCGGCCTTGCGCCACCTCTCCTGCCACCCGTTCAGCCCACACCGAGGCTGGCAACCAAGGGTAGCGTCGTAAGATGCTGGCATCTCCTAGCTTGTCCTGCCATGGCGCGTGCCATGCAAGGAAAGACCAAGCCTGCAGGTTGGCGTCTAGGGGTCGGTTGAGGCTGGAAACGGGGAACTGGCTGGGGAGAGTGGAGCATGTCAGGAGCCCAGTCAAAGCACTGGTGGGATGTCCCCTCGCCAAGTGTTGGCGAACATTTGCTGAGCTCGGACAAGAGCTAGCAGGGCAGCAACGCCGGCAACCCTAGCCAAGATTCCTCTGGGGCTGGGTGCGATGGAGCCGCGCCGGCATCCAGGCGGAGCCAGGAGGTCAGCTGCTGGCCAACGAAGCGTCCACGTCTTAGACTTCCGCCGAAGCGAAAGTCAAACATCCAAAATCCTCCTCCTCCTCCTCCTCCTCCTCTCCTCCCTCCTCCTCCTCCTCCTCCTCCTCCTCCTGATCCTCCTCCCTCTTGTTCTCCTCCTGGTCTCCGTCCTCGTTGACCCCACCCCCTCCTTATCATCATCCTCCCCATCTTCTTCTTCTCCTCTTCTGGAGGTCCCCCGAGCCCAAAGCCCCCGAGGGGCAACACGAGGCCTCCAGAGCCCCAAACAGAGCAAGAAACCTCAAAAACATCGATCCTCGAATCGTCATCCTCTGCCGCCGGCATTAGAGAGCTGTGTTCTGAAGGCAACGGGTCGGGCTTCCCCCAGGCGGGCTTATCCTTCCCGAGGCGTTTACTAGTGGTCCCTGACCTCGGGTAGGGCCCTGGAAAGCCACAAAGACGCCCAAACCCCAGGATCACCGCCAGCACGCCTGCAATTCGGCGGCGACGATAAGGGCGAATAGCCCAGGGGCGGGCATTGCACGCATTCGCCTGGGAGTCTGGTCGAAGACACAGATCATCGGCGCCCCTGGATACATGTATTGCTCTCCCCCTGGGCTATTCGCCCCTGTCGTCGCCTACGAGAAATGGGGACGGGTCGACTTGGGGCTGTTGGCAGGGAAGGCACCTCCCGGGCGCTTCTCATGGAAGTCGAGGCAGGTGCTCGAAAAGGAAGATCGGAGAGGGAGGAAGAAGGTCGACGAGGAGGGCCGAGGAAGAGGATCTCGCGCAGGAGGATCGAAAAGGAGGAGGAGGAGGAGGAGGAGAAAGAAGGAGGAGCAGCAGCAGGGATAGGGCTCGTATGTGGCCTCCTGTCGGTCCTCGGGCCTTGAGCCTGCATCAGGGGAAAGGGTTCCCTGGTGGAGACGGGCTTTTCCTGGGACCAGCCGTTCACTCCGAGCCTGCCTTCGAGGGTCCCAGGACCCAAGAAGGCCCCGACAACCCGCAAACGGCGAACACGACCTGGGGGCCCCTTTGGGAGGCCACGGGAGCAGATAGGATCAGAGTATCGCGCCGCATCGCCGATGCACCGGCGACGTCGGGACGGAAAAAATTGGGTTCCAGATCGCGCCGCATGGCCGATGCACCGGCGGTACGGCAAGATTCATCAGCCCCGTCTGCTCGGGTCCGATCCGGGCGGCCTGGACTTGGACCCTCGAGCCTCGGAGCCCCTCGATCGAGAGCTCTTCGTGCCGATCGATCCTCGAGCCTCGGAGCCCATCCCCACCCCCCCATTGGGGGAGCAAAAGCAGCATCAATGACGCGCCAGCGTGGAGAACCCGTCAGCGAGCTACTGCTGAAGAGACATAACGCCTTCGGACAAAAACGAAGGCGCAACACGCTGACGGGCGCCCAACAACGTCGTAGCATTGACACCGGCTCCCCCTCCAGACCGGTGGAGCCTGCGGCGCGTAGGCCATGCCCTGCGGGCGCATGCCGTATGGCTGGCCCACCGGTTGGCCGCCGATGGGCGTGCCGATGACCGTCGGGGCCCCGCAGTCTGCCGCGGGGGGGCTGCTCGTCGCCCGTCGCCCGCTCCTACTCATTCAACTAGGAACTCGGACCTCATGGCTTCGGCGCTTGAAGCCACCAACTCCTCCTCCTCCTCCTCCCCCTCCTCCTCCTCCTCCTCCTCCTCCTCCGCCTCTTCCTACTCTTCCTCTTCCTCCTCCTGCCCCTTCCCGTCATCGTCGTTGTCGCCGCCGCAGCCGCCGCCGTCGTCGTCGTCGTCGTCGTCCCCAATTCCTCTCCTTGTGAAGAGCTCACCCCTGTCGCACTGCCAGACGTGTAGTGGCACTCCCCCACCGCTTACGTCTACGACCATGAATCTAGAAGCTTGAACCGTCAAACAGTTACACGGATGGAGGGCACATCGCTTTCAAAAATCGGTCATCGCTCTGGCGCCGAGCAAACTCGGCCTAACAAAAAACCCTGCAGCATCTGCACGGACGAAGGGCGTGCGGATCTCGCCCTGGCGCCGCATACACTCGTCTTCGGAAAAAAACCATGACCTGGATCCAGATGGCTCCCGCACTCATTGCGGGCCCAGGAAACGCTCGTCTTTCAAGGAGGCACGTCGAGCACTAAAGAGGATGGCTCGTAGGGACTAATGAGGAGATTTGGGACGGGAGAGTGTGTTGCAGCATCTTGGCACATCTGGGATGTACTCTGGTCCTCCCTCCTCCTCCTCCTCCTCCTCCTCCTCCTCCTCCTCCTCCTCCTCATCATCACCATCACGTCATCATCATCATCATCATCATCATCATCATCATCATCATCATCATCATCATCATCATCATCATCATCATCATCATCATCATCATCGTCGTCGTCATTCATCATCATCATCATCATCATCATCATCATCATCATCATCATCATCATCATCATCATCATCATCATCATCATCATCATTATCAGCATCATCATCATCATCAGCAGCAGCATCAGCATCTGCATCATCCTCATCCGCATCATCAGCATCATCAGCATCATCATCATCATCATCATCGTCGTCGTCATCACCAGCATCATCATCATCATCATCATCAGCAGCATCATCAGCATCAGCATCAGCATTATCATCAGCATCGCCTTCTTCATAAGCAGCAGCATCATCAGCATCATCGTCATCATCAGCAGCATCATCGTCAACGTCATCATCGTCATCATCATCGTCGTCATCGTCAGCATCATCAGCAACATCGTCAGCATGATCGTCATCAGCATAATCATCATCATCAGTATTATCATCATCATCATCATCAGCATCATCATCATCATCGTCATCATCTGCATCAGCACCATCACCATATCAGCATCACATGCATGTTCATACTCATCATCATCACCATCATCAGCAGCAGCATCAGCATCATCATCAGCAGCATCATCATTATCGTCATCAGTATCATCATTATCAGCATCATCATCAGCAGCATCATCGTCATCGTCATCGGCAACGACATCGACACCAGCATTGACATGGTTATCACACGTATCATCATCAGCATCACCATCAGCATCAGCATCGCCATCAGCATCATCATCAGCAGCATCATCAGCATCAGCATCACCACCATGTTCTTCAACCTCCTCCTGCGCCTCCTCCTCCTCCTGCTCCTCCTCATCCTCCTCCTCTTGCTCCTTATGCATCCACCACTCTCCTCCTGACACTCCTCCATCCCTCTTCCAGATAAACAACTTCCCCTCGTGGCACCACGGGACGTGCCAGTATGGAGAATCGACATTTCGCCCGATATTTCCTCACAGCCCATGGCACTGGAATGTTGATCTACAAATGCTACACGGACCGAGAGCGACACCTACTCAAAATGCATTCATCGTCGCAACTCAGATCACACTCGTCCAAGAGGCTTCCAGCTCTTAGAACGATGGAGAGGAAGGTCGTGTTCGATGTGTGGCTCTCGCCTTAGCGCCGCGGATTCTCGTCTGAACATCTTTCACTCACACAAAGATGGAGGGCGGCCCGAGTCCAAACTGCAGCTGGAGCGGTAGCGCAGCGCACAGTCGTCTCCCAAGCGTCCAACAACAAAGACCGAGGCCCGTTCCTTTTCAAAATGGGCACCCCATTCAGACCTGCTCGTTTATGTAGCGAGCAATATAAACTGCACAGCATCTACGCGGATGGAGGGCGGATCCTTGACAAAACGGAGCCCTCGCTTTACACGTCATCATACACCACCAACAAGTATTACGATGTGCAACAGATAAACGGGCTCTCGCAATAGCAAGCCCATGGGACGTTCGGCTTTCAATGTGTATTTCGACATGACAGGCATGCCTACAGGGACGCATGCTGGAGAGCCTTAGGACAGGATGGTGCATTGCAGCAGCGCTACTGCACCATGCGTCTCCTCTGGTCCTGTTTCTCCTCCTCCTCTTATTCCTCCTCCTCTTCCTCCTACTGCTCCTCATCCTCATCATCATCATAATCATCATCATCGTCATCATCATCATCAGCATCAGCATCATCATCCTCGTCTCTCCCCTAGATCCTCCAACAGACCCCAGACTTCTAAGCTAACAAAGGCATTGTGTGCTAGCCATGACGCCCATCCTCGGATGCATGCCCTAACGGCTTCTCCGTCCGCCTCCACCTCCGCGGCCTCCTCCAAACCTCTGTCTGATTATCGTCCGTGTCGTCCTTGTCTTGCTCCTCCCTTCGGGCTGCACACCTGAAAGGTTGGGGTACACATGCCGGCCATCAAATCACACTCACTCATCACGCATCGTCATCACTCCGCGCTCCTCGTGGCTACCACTTCGCCTGCTCTCTCCTTCTCAGCATCCTAACCCCATCCCAATTTTCATCCTCCTCTTCCTTGTCGACGGCGTCATCGTCATCATCAGCATCATCATCATCATCATCATCATCATCATCATCATCATCAGCATCGTCATCATCGTCAGCATCGTCATCGTCATCATCATCGTCATCATCATCATCATCATCAACAGCATCACCATCATCATCGGCAGTACCATCAACAGCATCATCAGCATCAGCAGCAGCAGCATCATCATCAGTGTTGTCGTCATCAGCATCATCATCGTCCTAATCATCATTGTCACCATCCTCATCATCAGCATCATCATTGTTCATCACCATCTCGTCAGAATCATCATCAGCATCATCACACGGAGTACCATCATCATCATCAGCATCATCATCATCGCCATCATCATCGTCATCGTCATCATCATCATCATCGTCATCATCATGAGCATCATCATGAGCATCATCAGCATCATCATGACAATTGTTAGCATCATCAGCATCATCAGCATCAACAACAGCAGCAGCCACGTCATCAGCATCAGCATGGTCAGAAGCAGCAGCAGCAGCATCGGCAACATCAGCATCATCATCAGCAGCATCGTCATGAGCATCAGCATCATCAACATCGTCGTCATCATAATCATCATCACCGTCGCCATCATCAGAATCGAAATCAACAACCTCATGATCATCATCATTATCATCATCACAACCATCATCATGAGCATCATCAGCGTTATCATCATCATCATCAGCATCATCAGCATCATCATCATCATCATCATCATCATTATCATCATCGGCATCATCATCAGCATCGACAGCCATAGCACCATCATCATCAGCCGCATCGGCATGCTCAGCAGCAGATCGTCATCATCAGCATAATCATCATCAGCATCAGCACCATCGCCATCACGATCACCAGCATCAAAGTCATCATCAGCTTCACCATCCTCATTCACATCATCTGGCTTGGCGTATTCCCCCTTCTCATCCCCTCCTCATCCTCATCGTCACCAGCATCATCGTCATCAGCATCATCATCGTCATCTGCCACATCATCAACATCCTCATCATCGTCATCGTCATAAACAGCATCACCCTCACCACCATCGTTACCACAATCGTCGTCGGTCTCAACATCCATCATCATCCTCATCAGCATCATCATCAGCATCAACATCAACAATAGCAGCACAATCAACAAGTGCATCATCATCAGCAGCATCATCATCGTCGTCGTCATCCAGCTCACCCTCCTCATCATCACCTTTCTCTTCCCCTTCCTCTTCATCTTTGTGTGCCTCATCCTCCTCACGTCTGATCGTCAATTATACTTGTGGGGCTCTCCAAACTCGCTCCGAAACATCGTGGGGCTTCTCCAGAAAGACAGAAGGAAGAAGCGGGAGGAAGGAAGGGAGGATGGAAGAAAGAAGAAGGACGAAGGTATTGCAGTGAGAAGGGAAGATGGACGAAGGAGGAAGGGGGGAGGGAGAAGAAAGGAGGGTTGAGGGAGCAGGTGAGCAGAAGGACGAAGAAGAGACGAGATGAGGGGAAGAAGGATGGAGCAACGAGAAGTAGCCTGGACGAGAGAGGAGGCAGGGGAGAAGAGACAAGGAAGGCAGGGGTGGGATACCCGCCGACCCTTCGGCGTGTGAAAGACGCTGTCGTCGTCGTCGTCGTCGTCGTCAGTCCCAAGGAAATGGAGGAACATTGAAAAGGAACGTCGTGGTTAAGCCGAAAGGAAGCTCCTTCCCTGTATCCCTTCCCTGCCAGAGGGGGAACTACGGGGGAGGGGGCCCTGGGGGAGGGGGGTCCCGGCTCAGAATAACGCCTGGGGGGCCCCAGATCAGAGTGCCGCCCCACCGGGGTTCCGAAAAAGGCTGCGGTTTAGTCGAAGGGGAGACCCTACCCTTCCTTGCTCCCTTCCCTGCCGAGGGGGGGGGGGGTCTGGTCAGAAAACTGCCTTCCAAGGGTGCAGGGGGGAGGGCCCGGGTCAGAATACCGCGCTCACGGGTCTCGGGGTGGTCGCCAGCGGGTGTCCCAGGGGATGTCCCGCCTTCAGGGTCGGCTGCACGGGCCGTAAGGTCTTCGCAATAGGAAGGAGAGCGAACGAACGACGCGCCCCATCAGCCCAAAGGCCGTCCTGAGACGGGTGGCGCGGTGGCGCCTCAGAACCCTCGGTCCGGGTGCACGACGGTGCTTTCCAGCCAACGTTTGCACTGCGCCCCCGTGCCGCCGAGAGTGGCTCTCTGGCTGTGGAAGTACGGGAGAGGAGCTGGACGAAGAGGAAGCCATGTCCGCCCGCCCCCAGCCAGCCCCACCGCCCCGCTCCTGGGCCGCTCGAATAGGGCTGCGCCATCGGGGGCACGTTGCCTGACGGCCGCGTCGTCGTCGCCGTCGCCGCCGCCGCAGCCCTCATCCTCCTCCTCCCCCCTCCTCCCCCTCCTCCTCCTCCTCCTCCTCCTCCTCCTCCTCCCCCTCCTCCTCCTCCTCCTCCTCCTGTCGAAGTTGTTTAGCATGAAGCGGGGTCCTGAAGGAAAGGGGTTCTGGAAGATGCTTGCCGCTTTCGTGACCTCGACGGACCCTGGGCCCGTCAAGAACTCCTATCGGCCCTTCAGGGCGTGAGTAGTTTAGCGAGTTTCCTCCTCTAACCTCCCCGCGAGGGGCAACGTTCGGAGGGGGGGCCGCCGCAGGGGGGCGGGATATATCGAGCTGGAATCGGCGGTGCATCGCCAATTGATCGGCGATAGGCCCCCCATAGCGAATCCGCACGGTCCGGGCCCGTCGGCGATCGCTAGGCGATTGGGGGTCGACGCATCTCCCCGTGAAAGTTTAGCCAGACCCGGCCTCTTCCCCAACGGGGAGGGGTTTACCCATCCCCCTACCCCTGGACCTGGACGGGGGGGTCGCGGATCGTCAGAGCGTCCACGTGGCCTCGGCGAGAAAGCTAGAATCATTGATGTGACGAAGGTCTTGGCCACATGTTGTCCTCCTGTGAGAGGGGGCCGAATGTACAACGGCCCCTCCTCGGTCGATCTCCTCCAAGATGGCCCCAAGATGGCCCCCGAGGCTCTCAAAGGTGCCCCAAGACGGCCCCACGAAGTGCCCAGGAGAGGCCCCCCAAAGGCTCCCAAGTTGCCCCCAAGAGGCTCCGAAGAGGCTCCCAACAAGCCCCAAGAGGTCTCCCAGAGGCACCAAAGACGCCCCAGGAGGCCTCAGCGAGAAGGCACAAGTCACTGATGGTACAAAGGTTTTGGCCACGTGTTAGCCCCCAGGGAGGGGACCCCACTTACGGAGCCCCCCTCATGTGGTCGATCTCCTCCAAAGATGGCTAGGGTACCCCAACACGGCCCTAAGAGGTGCCCAGGAGGCCCCAAGAGGTCCCCCAAGAGGCTCCCAAGAGACCCCCAAGAGGCGCCCCAGCGCACCAAAGACGCCCCGAGAGGCCTCGGCGAGAAGGCCAAAAACCATTGATGTGACGATGGTAATGGCCACAGTTTGGCCTTCGTAGGGGGGGTACCCTCAGTGAGGAGCCCCCCTCCTTTAATCGATCTCTTCCAAGGTGGCCCCAAGATGGCCCCCGAGGACCCCTAAGGGTGCGCCAAGACGGCCCCAAGAGGTGCCCAGCAGGCCCCAAGAGGCCCCCACGATCCCCCCAAGATCCCCCCGGAGGCTCCCAAGAGACCCGCAAGAGGCCTCAAGACGCCCCCCAGAGGCACCCAAGATGCCTCCTGTGGGGGGGCCCTAAATACGGAGCCCCGCTCATTTGGTCGATCTCCTCCAAGATGGCCACAAGATGGTCCCCAAGGCTCCCTAGGGTGCCCCAACACGGCCCCAAGAGAAACCCAGTGGGCCCCAAGAGGCCCACAAGAGGCCCCCGAGAGGCTCCGAAGAGACTCCCAAGAGACCCCCCAAAGGCACCAAAGACGCCACAAGCGACCTCGGCGAGAAGGCCAAAATCATTGGTTTGACTACGGTGCTGGCCACAGCTTGGCCTCCGCGGGGAGGGGACCCTCAGTGAGGAGCCCCCTCCTTTGATCTATCTCTTCATAGGTGGCCCCAAGATGGCCCCCGCGGCTCCCTAGGGTGCCCCAAGACGCCCCAGAAGGTGCCCAGGAGGCCCCAAGGGGCACCCACGATGCCCTCAAGATGCCCCCAAGAGGCTCCCAAGAAACATCCAAGAGGCCCCACTTAAGAGCCCCCCCAGAGGCACCCACGATGCCCTCAAGGGGCCCCTGGGACTGCCCAGAGACCCCCAAGACGCCGCAAGAGGACTCCAAGAAGCTCTCGAAGGAAGCCCGAAGAGACTCCGAAAAGTATCCAAGATGCATCTGGCCTGTCTGGTCGCGCTCCTCCTCGTCATTATCCTAATCCTCCTCATCCTTCATCTCCTCCTCCTCCTCATCATCAGCATCATCAGCAGCAGCATCATCAGCAGCAGCATCATCACCATCATCATCAGCAGCATCATCTGCAGCATGATCATCATCAACAACATCGTCACAAGCACCACCATCATCATCAGCATCAGCATCAGCATCAGCATCAGCATCAGCATCAGCATCATCATCATCATCAGCATCATCATCATCGTCTTCATCATCGGCATCATCAGCATCATCAGCCTCACCAGCATCAGCATCATCATCAGCATAATCATGATCATCATCAGCATCAGCATCATCATCACCACCACCATCATCATCAGCATCAGCATCAGTGTCGTCAATATCATGGTCATCATCATCATATCATCATCATCATCATCATCATCATCATCACCATCATCGTCATCATCGTCATCATCATCATCCTCCTCATCATCATCATCATCATCAGCTAGGTCAGCATCATCATCATCAGCATCATCAGCAGCATCATCATCATCAGCAGCAGCATCATCCTAATCATAATCAGGATCATCATCATCAACAGTCTCATCGTCACCATCATCATCAACATCAGTAGTATCATCCTCCTCATCAGCATCATCAGCATCAGCATCACCATCATCATCATCATCGTCGTACTCATCATCATCGTCGCCAGCGTAATCATAATCATCAACACCATCATCATCATCATCATCAGCAGCAGCAGCATCATCATCATCAGCATCATCATCATCATCGGCAGCATCATCAGTGTCAGCATCATCGTCAGCATCCTCATCATCAAAATCATCAGTATCCCCATCATCACCATCATCAACAGCATCAGCATCAGCATCGTCATGGCCATCACCCTCATCAGCAGCACCATCATCAACATCATAAGCATTAACCACATCAGCTTCATCATCATCATCCTCATCATCATCATTAGATCAGCATCATCATCAGCAGCACCATCAACATCATCAGCATCGTCAATTATCGACGTCAGCATCATCAGCAGCATCATCAATATGGTCAAATCATCAACATCAACAATACAAACACCAGCATAATCATCACCATCACCAAAAGTATCAATAACAGCATCATCAACATCATCATCAGCATCATCGGCATCATCACCATCATCAGCCGCAGCATCAGAATCATCAGAATCAGCATCATCAGCAGCCGGATCGGCAGCACCATCCGCATCATCATAATCATCAGCATCATCTGCATCATCAGCATTAGCATCAGCATCAGCATCACCACCATCATCACCATCATCAACAACAGGAGCAGCAGCAGCCACAGCATCAGAATCATTATAATCATCATCATCAGCATCAACAGCATCAGCAGCAACCGCAGCATCGGCAACATGATCATCAGCAGCATCGTCATCGTCATCATCAGCAACAGCACCAGCAGCACCATCATCACCAATTTCATCATCATGGCCATCATCAGCATCATCGTCACTACCGGTGGCATCATCCGAATCATCTTAATGTTACTCATCAGCGCCATCGTTATTACCACCACTATCATCATTACAATCACCGTCATCAACATCATCATCCTCATCATCAGCATCTTCATCATCGCCACCGTCATCATCATCGTCATCATCAACAACATCGTCGTCACCATCATCATCATCATCATCATCATCATCGTCATCATCCTCATCATCATCCTCATCATCATCATCATCATCATCATCATCATCATCATCATCATCATCATCATCATCATCCGCCCGTTCCTCCTTCTTACCTTACCCCTCCCTCCTCCCCCTCCCCCTCTCCCTCCTCCTCTTCCTGCTCCTCCCCTTTCCTACCCCTGTTGGGGTACAAACCGTCACCCAGCCCCATCTTCCACTGCATTCTCCTCCAAATCCCTGATCAGGGCAACTCGTTTGGGCATCGGTTCTGGATGGACTGGTGGGCTTACTTTCTGGTTCGTAGGCGCACGAAACGGGTCGGACTCCGAGCAAGCTAGGGCGGGCCGCGCTCCGTTGCTAGAGAAAAAAACAGGCGAGCAGCGTCTGGTTCAGAGCGGGACGGGGCTCAACGCTGCCAGAACGGCGCGGATGGCGCCACAACGTGGCACCGGGATCACGACCACGGAAGTATCGATAAGAATGCATGTGCTTCCACAAGTAACCAAGTCGATGCAGGTCAATGGAAAGCGACCCCACTGCGACCACGGAGAGAACGCCACACTTACCCAGATCGGCGGTGACGAACAAGGCGAGAGAGACCGTCACTCCATTCCCCAGGTATGCATGTCGAACTCGGCGTCCATGAACTCGTCGGCCAGACAGACATTGAGAAGCGATCAGGCAACCCCGTAGGAGAAGCGTGAACGACATCGAAGGACTGGCGTGGGCAACGCGAGAAGGTCGCGCCAAGCGGACGCCGAGAAAACAAGCGGCCTCCAGTGCCTCAAGTAGTAGAGCGCGTAACCCCAAAGGGTCTTCAATAAACCCCTGGGCACTAATGGGAGAATAAGTAATTTGTCCGCCGGCTGGTTGACGGATTGGGACCCCGACAATAAATTTAAATTAAGTGTTCTCGTCGGCGGATGCATGAGAGGTCATCGTCGTCGTCGTCGTCGTTTCCCGTCGTCGTTGTCCTCATCGTCGTCCTCCCTCCTCCTCGAATCTACGAAACGGAACCCAAAACAGGGGGGGAGGAGGAGGAGGAGGAGGAGGAGGAGGAGGAGGAGGAGGAGGAAAAGGAGGAGGAGGAGGACGGAGGGGAAGGAGAAGGAAGGGGAAGGAGGAGGAGGAGGGACGAGTTTCAGTTTCCCGTCCAGAGCTTAGGGGGGCGCATCACTAAACACCCTCTGCGGTTAGTCGCCAACGCGGTAGAGATGTGCTGCGCGAGGAAGCGGGGTTGGCTGGGCTGCGGCCGCATTGCGCCCTCCAGCGGGCGGGACAGAGGCCCCACAGGAGGGGGGGGCGAGGGCGGAGGCGCGGGCGGGGAC